CATCCATTATGGACAATTTAGGACAATATATAGCACTTACCTGAACACTGAGCTACATTACAATAAAAATTAGTTCAGAATTGAAAGCTTTCGGGCCGATATTCGACCCTTGTACCTGCTGAACACGAAACGGCTCAATCGCGACTTTCCTAACGGTCGGTGACAAGGCTCATTCCGGTATTTCTGGTTCTGGCTCCACAACGAAATCAGGGACAGCGACTTACTCTTGCCAGCACCGCCTCAAAGCGAAACCTTCTCTCGTTCACAGTTCATGATCATCTTCCCATCTCTAACAGGGAGTCGTTACATAACCCAGACGTCAATCCAACCCTTACTGGTCCACAGCACACACAGATCGTTGCGGCCGAACTGTAGGGGCTGTAACTCTTGGGCCGGACGCCAGGACCCCCAGGCTTCATGTCATTCTATTATGTTCTTCCATGAGAATGGAGGGGATAAATCTTCAAACAGCTCACGGCCACTTCCTTTCGTACTCTTCAATGGATACGTCCTACTATGAGCAATATACTGACTAGACATAGTACCTTATTTCATTCGGTACCAAGCACTGACGTGGGCCGCGCCATAGCTCAAGCGGTCAGTCGCTGGCTTCCCACCGTGGTGGCCCGGGTTCGATCCCGGGTCTGGTCAAGTGGGATTTGTGGTGGACAAAGTGGCGCTGGGGCAGGTTTTCTCCGAGTACTTCGGTTTCCCTGCCAATCTTCATTCCACCAATTGCTCCACAATCACCTTCCCCTATCATCTGGGGCTGGTACAATAGGCCAGAAGTGGCCGCAGTACAAGGGACTTAGTCCCACCCCACTAGCAATAAAGCACTGACGTGTCATGAAAATAATGTGGAGTCAATGAACCCCAAGAATGTAAACACAACGGTATGGGCACATAAATACACTGGCAAACACCAAACTGTGCACCCCTGTTTCTCCCTCCCAGAAACCCACTCATGTCGTTTCGGCGGTTCAATGCACTTCCTACACCTCAAACAGAAGTAATAACATTGTCAGCCTTGGTGGGGGTATATACCCTGAGTAGAAATGCAAGGTGTTGTTGCAAGGCGTATGTTCTTTGTCTTATGAACTTTCCGGAGCCCCACCAGGGTACATTCTGCAAGTAGTTAAGTACCCGCATACCCCGGATTTTAGTCAGTCAGCTTGCAACTTGCTTCTTGCTTGTTTGGCGTACCATCGACCCCAGTCATGAAGACAGTGCGTTCCTCCCAAAGGCAGATGAATTTATATCATCATGGCGTTATATCGAACAGTGTTTTCATGTCCCTATCATTCCTACCGAACTATGGACCTTCGGAATAAAATTCAATCCCACACAATCAGTTAAGACAATAGTGAGTAACGAAACAAGTCCTTGGAAGAACTTATGACAATCCGTACGACACTTTATAGGTGAGGGTGATTGTGGAATGAAGATTGGCACGGGAAACCGAAGTACTCGAAGAAAACCTGCCCCAGAGCCACTTTGTCCACCACAAATCCAACTTGACCAGACCCGGGATCGAACCCGGGCCGCCGCGATGGGAAGCCAGCGACTAACCGCTTGAGCTAAAGCGGCCTCCGTAGTCTAGAGGTAACGTTCCCACCTCATGACTCGTAGTACGTCGGTTCAAATACCCGGCGGAGGTCGTCGAATTTTTAAGGGCGGAAAAANGCCCCGTCACGGTAGCCGAGCGGTCTAAGGCATGCACTGTCTTCGCTCGCTTGGGAACCGGGATGGTGGGTTCGAATTCCACTCAGGGCATGAATGTTTATNTAACTAACTAACTAACCGCTTGAGCTATGGCGCAGCCTAGATTTGGTATAGGGCAGGTTCGCTCATGGCAGTTGTGAAAAGAAATATCGAAATATAAATTAGATTTAGTGGAAGTACAACACGGCAGAACTTACACTTCTGAAACAAATTCCCTTACATCATTACTTTTCGGATATCCCACGTATTAGAAAGAATATAAAAATTTCTGCCAACGAGAGTCTAGATCGTTATGAATTAGAGAAGCATAAGCCATGGTTCGACGAATGATGCTCAAAGTATGGCAACAAACGAAACAAGTCAAATTGCAGTGGTTACAGGATCCAAGCGACATAAATGGGGATAATCTGAACAATATAAGACGAGAGACCAGCAGTAATTTCAGGAATAAAAAGAGGGAATATCTGAAAGACAAAATTGATGAGCTTCCAACGAACAGTAAGAACAAAAATATTAGAGACCTGTATTGAGGAATAAATGAATTTAAGAGGGGTTGCCAACCTAGAAGTAATTAAATGAAGGATGAGAATGGTGATCTGCTTGCAGATTCCCACAATATTTTGAATAGGTGGAAGAACTACTTCTCCAGTCATTGAATGTGCATAGGGTCAGCTAAGTCTGGCAGACAGAAATGCATACAGCTGAGCCATTCGTACCCGATGCTAGTACTCTTTGAGGGTCAAAACTGCTACTTCAAAGTTGAAAGGTACAAATCGCCAGGCAGTGATCAAATTCCAGCAGAACTCACTGAAGCAAGAGGCGAATCATTACGGACTGATATCCATAAATAAATTAATTCTATTTGGAATAAGGAAGAACTGCCTAATCAGTGGAAGAGTTTATAATTGTGCCAATTTTGAAGAAGGGTGATAAAATGACTAATAATTATCGTGGGATATCAGTGCTATCAATTTGATACAAAATTTCATTCAATATTCTTCTCTTAAGGGTGAATCCATACATTCATTCATCAGTAATCTGTCAGAAGACAGGTCCACAGTCTCTTCCAAAAGAGCTCCTCCACTTAATGCGATCTCAAACTTTCTCCTTCAATTAAAATATCCTCTTCTGTCCCCAAGGTCATCCAGCATAGATGACATAGATGAAGTTATTGGAGATCATCAGTGTGGGTTTCAACGTAACAGATGAACTAGAGATCAGAAAATCTGAAGATCTGAAAATGTGGCACAATTCAATAATTGGGATCGACTATAACAAATAAAAAACTGATTCAAGAGGAAATTAAGACGAGACTGAACTCGGGTAATGCTTGCTACCATTCAGTCCAGAACCTTTTGTCTTCTCGTCTGCTGTCCAAAAACATAAAAATCAGAATATACAAAACTATAATTTTGCCCGTGGTTCTGTATGAGTTAGAAACTTGGTCTCTGACATTAAGGGAGGAACACTGACTGAGAGTGTTTGAGAACAGAATGTTGAGAATATTTGAACCGAAGAGGGATGAAGCGACAGGAGGTTGGAGGAAACTTCATAATGAGGAGCTTCATAACTTGTACCCTTCTCCAAGTACAGCATAATTATAATGATCAAGCCAAGGAGGATGTGGTGGGTAGGGCATGTAGTACGAATGGGGGAGAAGAGGAACGCGTATAGGATATTGATGGGAAAGCCAGTAGGAAAGAGAACAGTAGGAAGACCAAGACGTAAGTGGGTGAATAATAATTATTATAATGCATCTTAGAGAGATAGGACGGGATGGTATGGATTGGATTGATCTGGCTCAGGATGGGACCAGTGGAGGGCTCTTGTGAACACGGTAATGAACATTCGGGTTCCATGAACTGCTGGAAAGTTCTTGAGTAGCTGCAGAATTGGCGGCTTCTCAAGGGCTCAGGTTACTTAGAGGGACAGACACATGAGCACGGCCATACTCCAAGTCTCTCCCTCGCTCTACTTATTATGCTTGAATCTATCACAAACAAGTTTCATAAAGATTTGTTCAGGCAGTTCAAGGTGGCTAAGAAATAAGACACTGAGGGCAAATCTAATACAAGTGAACGTCTATGCAACGGGTTCACGCAGCAAACTTTGCTTTCATTTCACGAGTTCAGTTATTGCGAAGAACCAGTGGCCCCTTACGTGCAACTGTTGTCCTGAACGCAACCACTGCTGCAATGACGTCTGACAAATTGCCTATATGCACGGCGCTATAGATATTCATCACAGCCAGAGAACAAATAAGTATGAGTCATGTTATCTAAAATCAGGAACAAGCTAGAGGGAAATACTTGGTCAGAATTTCGCCTAGGCTACTGGCCATCTTTAATCACATTCTTCGCTATTTTCGTCAGTTACTCCTGAAGACTCTGAGATCAGTATCTTAACTAGGGCAAAGATGCTTCCTCGCCAATCCTTTCCAGTACGCTGACTGTACACAGATACTTTATTTGGTCATTAATACTTCTGCAGCTGATACAGCCTACATAATCATTTGCGAACCGAACTGAATTCTATTCTTACCCAACTGAGTTACGGCATAACTGCTTGGTTTAAACACACTGACCTTAACTGTTATAAAACCGAGCACACAGGAAATATAGATTTTTCTTCAAAATTATTGGGGCCCTATAATAAAAAAAGCACTTTGTTTCTAGCGCTCAGTCGTCATATTTTAACCCTGGAGAAAGAATATCTGAAAGGTAATAGACTTACGAAACATACTGTAACATCCACCGACAGTTTCTATGATGCTTACGAAAATATTTATTTGAAGTGTACACAGGAAAAGCCTGCGGTATCTTCATACGAACCTTCCCTTTCGGAAACCAATTAAAATATAAATGCAACATTAAATTTACGTACTATAAATTATTGTTGTCATCATTTTTTGGGCAGTTCTCTTCGGATTTTTGTCTGAATGTACGTAACATAACCTCAAATTTCCGAACATAGGCATCTTTGTGATTTTCATTTATATTTCATACATACAATGTGCAGCTGTATCCAAGAGAGTCATCAAACTGAAGGCTAATGTTGATTGCAAGCAACAGTCTGCTGTTATTTCACATTCAGAACAACAAAAGTACATGAACTTAGGTACATTCTGCTTTCACATTTCTTTATTATAGTTGGTTTAACACTGGCCTTCATCCCATACTCTAGCAGCCAGAGAATTTATCTGATAACAGGCTCGTTTCAGAAAAGTTTACTTTAACATTTAAGGCAGGTGCATAACAGAACATGTGATGAATACTTACCGGTGTAACAGAGGCCTACGAGTATGTGCGCATGCCTGCGGATCAACGGGCTTTCTTTTGACCACTCGACCCTCTCCAGCACATGGTCCACGTAGTCGAAACCCGTCACTGCCGTCACGGCCCACTTCAGTTTAGAGAGAACAAGCAACTCCCAGTTCTGTAACAATTAGCAGTGTTCCAGGAAACGGTAATCAGCTCCTTTGCAAGAGAGACCGAGAATTCTAATTAGGAAGCCCGAAGCAGTTACAGCCGGTCTATACCATTCAGTCTTTCATCCATTCATCAATGGCTCTAGAGCCCTTTGTTGGGCCCTGGCCTCTTTTACAGTTTCGTAATCTTTTTTACACAGACGGTAGGACTCCTTGGACGAGTGATCAGCCCGTCGCAAGACCGCTACTTACACACAGGGCAACAAAAACACAGAGTAAACGCATACACAAACATCCATCCATTTGAGTGGGATTCGAATCCATGATCCCAGCGTTCGAGCGTGATCGACCCAGTCTATACCACCGAAACCTCGGCCTGCTTTCGTTTTGACCGATCTTTTGGGCACTGTCCCTAATTCCAGCTGTTTCTCGATGTAACTGGAACGTAACCCAATGCCTTCTCACAGATAAACTTCGAATTCGTATTGCCCTCCATAAATACGACATTCTGTTAAGACTGGCAGTGTCACTGGTTCTCCTTACTATGCTCTAACTAGGTTTCTGCAGAAAATACTGAATCCTGTAGGTCTTCAAACAGATTTCTTCAATTCCAGTGCACTTTTTAAGGTCAAGACAGCAGATATTCTGTGAAGTTTTGATATGTTAACCTGTTCAGTAATGTAAGCCTATCAGTGGATGAAACCCTGCATGCCACCAGTAACAAACTCAGTTTGGATAAGAACTTTCACAGACTTCATCTTCAGAGATTAAAATACTGAACGTCTCGAGCCACCTGTTTTTACAACGAATATAAATCCAAGAAAAGGATGGTACAGCTTTGTGAAAAGTTTTCTGTCAGTAATATACTCTTGTAACAATGTGTAAAACTGCCTCTAAGTGGTTCTACACGAGTCTGCATAATTGTAATGGTGGACAGGTCCAAAACTTCCTCCACTCTAAACCCCACCTTCACAACAATTACTGACATTCTGCTGTGCAGTGGAACGCCACTACATAAACACAGCTCCAAAAATTGCTTCAATCTTTTCTCTAGTGACATCGAGAAATGGTCAATGACCTTATATTTCTCACGGTTATTCACATTACCACAAAATGGCCTCTTCTTGCTAATTTGTTACAATGCAACGAACATCCTTCTTTATTCTGGAAGAAACCCATAAAAAATCTATTACGTTAGTAGGAACGTACTTAATTTTGTTAAATTAATGGATGGTCAGAAGGCCGCTTAATGGCGGAACTAATTGGGGAGTCCGCTCACCCTTGCAGGAAACTACCCCGTACTATCGCCGTCAGCAACCTGTTGTACGTCTCATGACGACTCGGTTTCGCATCTCAAGATGGCAGCCGTGCGCATTCCACCGTGACACATACACACAACAATATTATCGGAACACAGTTTGATACCGCTGTAACCCAACAAGTACCGTGAGAATGGGGGAAAAAATTCCTACGGTCCTGTTTCTGGAGCGAGGTCACTTCACTCCTCATCCGACGGTACACGCTGTTCCACACTTGACGTTTCGACTTCATACGATAAATACGTATTTGAGATATGAATACAACGATACGCTGAAATCGACATCCGATATCATACTCCACATATGCAATATGTGAGTTCCTTTCTCGCTCGTAAATTCAGCGGCGATCCCCTGCAAAACGCGATTCTTCTATGCTCAGTAACACTGTCATATCCATCCTCAGTGCCTCAAGTGCCTCCCGCTATTATTTGCGTATTTCTCGTACTTTCACTGTGCATGCTAACATGGGCCCTAAAAGGAAAGCGGTTGGAGGTGTACCGGTGAAGGGGGGGGAGTATAAGTTTGAGGCGGTGAGATTTCGGTTCGAAAGAGTCCTAACGATGGTGTATATCACTCAGAATTACTGTTTTCTTTTTACTTTTTCCATCGTCCGCAATTGTAGAGAATAGAAAACACGACGTTTCGGAAACTTGATCTGTTTTGTTCCTCAGGTGAGGGGAGGACACACCTAGTCAGTTGGGTCCCTTAAAAAGAGCCAACCTCGATCACTGGTTAGCTCTTTCCAAGGGAACCAACAGAGTAGGTGTCTCCTCCCCTCACCTGAGAACAGATTCAGTTTCCGAAAGGTCGTGCTTTCTAGTCTGTAGAATACCGAACGATGGATAAAATCCAGTAATTCTCAGTGAGATTTAGTATTGCTGGCATTAACTTAGAGACGGCTTTAAGTCTTACACAGTTTATAACTTCACTGATTCTTAAAACTATAAAATTAATTAATTCGAACTGGGTCCACTCGGCACTGCGGCCACTGATTGGCCTACTGTAGCCTGTCCCGGGTGATTATGATGATGGAAAAGTTGCAGGAATGAAGATTGGCAGGGGAAACCGAAGTACTCGGATAAAACCCTCCCCATCTCCACTTTGTCCACCACAAATCCAACTTTACCAGACCCGCGATCGAACCCGGGACGCCGCGGTGGGAAGCCAGCGACTAACCGCTTGGGCTATGGAGAGGCCTAAACTATAAAATTATGGTATAAACAGAGTTTTGTACATATTCTTCCAATGCCCTGGAACGTATCTCAATTTACAGCCAACTGTACGGGCTTATAATGCAGTTTTTGGGAACTCGCTGTGGCGCCATGACTTGCGAAATGGCCTGTATACATTTCCCACTGATCTGACTTGTTGATTCTTCTTAAAAAGAACAATGGCACAGAATGCTCCAATTTGAAACACGCATTTTGCAAACGCGCTAGGCTTTATTGCAGGCTAAACTGATTAACGAGCCGGTCACGGTAGCCGAGTGGTCTAAGGCATGTACTGTCTTCGCTCGCTTGGAAACCGGGATCATAGGTTCGGATCCCACTCAGGGCATGGATGTTTAGTTTGTGTGTGTGCGCGTTTTTCTGTGTTTGTGTACAGGTAGAGGCCTTGCGACGAGATGACCACCCGCCCAAGGAGTCCTACCGAATGTGTAAGATCTAGAAAAACCGAAGTGAACGGAGAAGTTCATGGAGGCAGGCCTAGGCCCACTGGGGCTGTAGTGCCAAGGCAGAAAGAAAACTGATTAACGGCGAGTCGGAAAGTAGTTTCGCTTCATTTTACTTCAATATTATTTTAAAAGCGGAGGGTGCTAATTGCATTTATGTGTAAGACCAAGTTCGTAGGCGCTGAGCCTTTCCTTGTGCTTAATTAATTAAGCACTAAGTCCTGAACATATATGAAGAGAGTGGATGTATATAACTCCACCATTCTTAACCTCGGAAATGGATGGAAGTGGTCAGCTTCACGCACCGACCGCTTTACCCCGGGGGAAAGGGTGTCCGGTACCCCATGGATAGGAGACTGGGTGGACTCGTGCACCCCAGAGCTGGCTCGGACGCTGTGGAGACTACATAATTTTGTCCCCTGCTGAGAATCGAACCTCGGTCATCCGGCCCTTTGCTATCCCGACTCCTATAGTGTAAGTGGGGGGGGGGTGATGAAGAGCACAGACATTTCTTCTCTCTGATTCATTCTGTTCAACGTGTTTCGATATGATTTGGCACTGATCAGGGAAACGGCGTCAGGCGAATGCTATTTAGCAGTTCGTTCTTGCTGGTGCAGTACATAGGGTTCAGAATGAAATGTCTGTTTCATTAAAACAAAAAACAAACTCCGTGGCTTTAGTCTGCAAGCAAACCATGGCGACCACCTCCGTGGTCTAGTGGTCAGTTCCTGAGGGCCCTGGTTCGATTCTCGGCGCTACCAGATTTTTTGAGTAGTAGTGGGTCTGGAACGGGGTCCACTCAGCCTCCTGATAAATGAGCTACTTGAATGGAAAAGTAGCGGCTCTGGTCTAGAAAACCGAAATTAACGACCGTGAGGATTCGTTACGCTGACCACGCGACAACCTCTATCCGCTAAAGTTGGCACTAACTTCGACGACAAGCGGCGGTCGCTCGGTCGGTATTCACGTACTTTCACTAAAACAGCACCAAAAATCTGTACATGGCATAAACACTCGCTTTAACCACTCCACGGTGCTTCAGAAGCCAAAAGCACTGTCTACTGTGAAGTGAAACATGTTCAGATGCAGGGTTACTGCACATTTATTGCAATACGACAAATTATTTGACTCACTGAGCTATTTCGGTACGACTTCTCAGCTAGACACTGAACAAGATGTCGTCGGGACACTGCTTCAGATTTGTATTCGGGAGATAATCTCGTTCGGGTCAAAGGCCATCCGGTGTGAGGTTTACCCTGGATTTCCTCAGTCCCTCCAGGAAATGTCGGATATTACATCCGTTACCCCACGATCGCTTTCTTCCAAACCCTTTCCAATTCATCACCTGCCATCCAAAGATCGGACAGACAGAATCGCTTACTGTTCCAACAGCAACACATCTGTACGTAGGATTACAATAAATGAACACAAAACCAACGGGGGTTAGAAACACAGCAAAGACCGCTTATGTCCATCCCACTAGAAGTACGTATTTCCACGCGTCTTCAATTTAACAGAGACTTAAAATTTGGGCTTACATCCTTCAGGGAGCAAATTACGAGTCAACCGCTTGCGCAGATCTGCTCTGCTGTACGCTCTCCCATGCTGAGACAAACATTCCTGTCTCGAGTGGAGAGGAAGCAGATTCCCGCAGAAACCGTATCGTCTGCTGACTCTGATACTGACCTCATCAAGAGTGAGACATGATGTCATTCATTGAAGAAACAGAAGACATACTTTATACAGGAACTGTTCTTAAAATAGTTCCTCCATAAGGCACTGACAGCACTAATTGCAGCCATATAAAATAAACTGCTTGTTGTAATAAAGTAGGCGAACAAAGGCCGACTTAAAAAAAAAAAAAAAGGACGAGCAATTTGTCGATCCAACATCGAGCGTACAGAAAGTTAACTAATTCACTGTGGGGAAGGTCCTCTGAGGCACTTGTTTTCAAGTCTCAAGCCATTAAGTAATTTGTTCCTCAAGAAAACGTTCTCATAGTCTGTACTGAACTCGG